GCACTTCTCTGCCCAGGTCGGTGGAGAGATGGTGCCTTTAACCTTTAACTGAAAAAAGCCTGGCGTGCTTTATAGCTAAAGACCTCAATCTTCATTCTGCCACAGCAATTTATATCAGATGGGGTTTTTTCTTTTTTTCCGCGAATAAACAACGTGGTTTTAGACGCTTGGACGCCGATCATCACTATGGTAACAGTCCTCAATTACCGATGATTGGCCAACCCGTGGGAATGTTTCTATTCCTCCAGAGCAGTGATTGGTCGGTGGGCGGTCTGTGCAGCCTGACAGTCTGCAGCGTTCCGGGTTATTGTCAGTCTCGGCAGCTCGGCGCAAGGGCAGGACCGCATCCCGGAGCTGCCCGAAGCAGCTAGCTCTTTATTCAGGCTTAACCATTTCATATTTGGTTAATACACCAAAGAGAGCATCTTGGAGCTTTGCTATCGAGAATACTCCACAGCCTCATCTGGAAATCTGAGCCTGAATCGCGGGGCAAGACATTGTAGAGCGGCTGCCGACACCACAGGGAAAGTGACGGACGGAGCAGAGTCTGATCACCGGGATTTTTTTATTATCACTGGTTTTTGTACATCCTATCGCAGCAGTTTAGGATATTTCAGGCAGTTGCTTTGACCCAGCCTTGGTTTTTTTCCAGGGTACCTTGACACAATAGGCCTGTTGCCTAGATAAAATTACTATCCAATTTGCATGATACATTCCACATTAGGTCGCAGAGAGCAGGCGGACCACTTTAAACCCATGCGCAACAGCGGAGGATTTCGGAATACTGCGTAGCACATCTCCCATCCAGTCTTTCGATTAACACTTTGATTATTTGGCAATATCTACAAGCGAAAAGAAAAGCAACCAGGACCCTTTACTTTGTTCCGGAGGCTAAACGGTGAAAACCCGAAGCGCACTTGGTGCGCAGTATTGCCGACCTGCGCTTTTGCCTTCGACAGAAATTGGCAGCCGAGTCGAGAAAAAAAGCAAAGCTTATTAAGTTTGTATGCTAGAGGCTAGAGTGTGGAATCTAATTCGCAGGGTTACCGGCATATTTGCATACAGTCTGGAGAGAAGGATAAACTTAATCAACGTTTGACATCGACAAAGCGGCTGCTGGATTTTGGAGAACGGAATGAATCCTTTTTAATTTGGAGCACAGAAGTATGAGGCAGATTGCTCAGTGAATGCTACAATCTGCATGGAGTTCTAGTCTGCACTACGGAGCAATTTATGGTAAATATACTTTATGACAAATTTCTTTCTCTGAGTCTTGTAGATTTTGAATGCTTCGGGTCATCCATGTAACCATTAACGAAGTTGCTGTCAGAGCCTCCCAGAGTTCTTTTGGAATGGTAAATAGAGGAACAACAGAAAATAATGAATGTTTGTAAAAAGCCCCCTTTTTCCCAGGATGCTGCTCACATAATGATGCCTCATATTTAAACCCTTTGTTTCCATGCGTGACCCACAATAAAGGAAATGTAAAAAATCGACTTGTTAGAGAGCCGCTCCCGAATTGCTTTAGGAACTGCTTTGATGTGTAATATTGGTCTTTTCAAGTATGGGTGGCAATTAAGTGTATTGTCGAGGGAACTGCACCGCATTCACCACAGGCAGGAGTACAGTATGTGGCACTAGAAGAGTTACGGCTCTGAGCAAAAGGTGCGAATTTTTCATCTCTACGCCCCCGTGTGTCACCCCTTGTGGGGAGGGTGACTACAATGTCTTGTGCAATTAGCGATTTGTCAGCCTGGAGTGTTAATGATATAGAGTCTCTTTTTGTAGTGTGAAAGCATATTGTGACAGGCTTTTATCAAGCAACTCGCATAATATATGGAGATGTGTGCGCAGCACTGTAAAAACTTTTCACTTTGTGCTCGGCGACATGGATGATGCTCGGTGCTGCAATGAGATCTGGAGGCAATTTGTCATTGCCTTGGGAATTGTTAAGCAAATTTGTCGTCCGCAGCCTGAGCCTCGAATTTAAATCGAAAAGATTTGAATATAGTTATGAATGCAACTGAAGGTCGTATGTCATTTGAATCTGAATGCTGGCTCATAAAGTTTGGACTGTTGTGAACTTTGAGCTTCATGGGTTGCTGAGGTTGCTTTGCAATATTTAGCTTCATCGCTCACAGTGCACATAAATGAGCCCGCAGATTATGCTGACTGTGCAGTGAAAAAGCTGCACACAGTATGTTTTATCATTAAACTACAAGCATCCTCAAAATTTATCTTCCTCACTGGCTCCAGTCATTCTCTCTCTCCAGCAGCCCCACAGACTGCCAGCTCGCTGAATGTATTATGGGCCCCTAAAGCAGGGCAGGCGCCCCCACAGTCAGGGCACCTGCCATAGAGCCTTCCTGGCTGTATTGAATAAAACATCCAGTGATGTATGAGGCAGGGGCTGCACCCGAGGGGGCAGAACTGCCTCATTTACTTCCTCCACCCTGCGCCTATGACCTGCTGAGCAAATTGTGCTCATATTAGCTCTGCGGCTGCTCCTCACCTAAACAAATAGTCTTCCCAGCATAATGCTCGCCTTAACTCAACATGATGGTTGGACAAGGCAGGGTAGAATGGAAAGACAGAAAAGCTTTAAAATCTAGGTCACTGAATTACCTTTTGGAGTTTGTAGCTCTTGTTCTCCCTCTTTATTTTCTGCCTTGCTGTTTGATCTTTTTCTTTCTGTAACAATGGGCCTTCAATTGTCCTGCTGCAGGCTCAACACTTCACTCACATTTCTTTCCTCTCGATTTCACCGTGTTTCCTGTTGCTCCCAACTAATCGCCAAAAGTACTAACACCCTTTAGAGCTGAAACTTGTGTCACAGTGTTCCCTAAATGCTGATCACAGCAGCAGTGATGAAAATACAGCGAGAACACCTACATCACCAAAGTAAAATCTGATCTACTGTTCTCGGTTGTGCTGCCAACCGTGGAACGTATTTTAAGCATCGAAATAACAAAAGTAATACACTGAGAAGCCTGGCATTTGATCAATTTGCACTTTAAATTGCACATCAGTGTGATTGATTGATGGCGTTTTCATTCCTTACTGTATTCTTTGCTTATTAAAGTGCCTGCCTGAAGTGAATAAGGGAGCCTCACTCATGAATATCGTTAAAGTCACTGAAGTTTAATTTCCTGCGCTGTGTATTAATCTTTTTTAATCCCTGCATGGCTTGATTGTCTCAACACCTACCCAGAGGCAGCCAAACTCATTTTGGCACTTAAAATGACTAAGCTAGTATATACAGATGTGTGTGTGTGTGTGAGTGTTTTAGTAAACATCTTCCCACCCCTGAAGTGTCAAAGTCTGCATGTTCATGCTTGTGTGGACTTCATTACTGAAAGTGCTGCTTTTTATTCACACAAATGAAATCGCATCTTTAAAACAGATTTACTGTCGACAGAATCTGGTTATAGACTGATGCACTGTAGATGTAAGTAATCCTAACAAACTCTTTTTTCTTCTGTCAAAGTAAAGATGACTAGAATAGCTGATATCCTAGAAAAGCACAAAGCTTCTTACTTGGAAGTATCATCGAACACTTTATGGAACATGGACATTTCTCTCAAAGCCATGTTGACAACAGCAGCTCATTACGTACCTGATCAAAGTATTTCATACCTGGAAAAGTCTCTAACTGTCCTTGTTGTAACACTTTTCATGTGCAGACAAGAGATGTGCCCTTTCTTTTACCTTGCCATGTTACATGATTTAATATGGGCTCTGTTGTCCTTGCTGTGAGATTTGTCTTGTACATCAGTGGTTGGGATGTGGCAACAGTGCATGAAGAGAGCAACATAAAACAACAAATCGCACACAAATGATTGTAGAGAAACAAACACACCCTTCAGCCAGTCAGAGTGAATGAATAAAGTGATAGTGATGTTCATTTCTAGCAGAGATGAGGGTGTTGATGGTATTTGACACCCACTGTATAGACAGGGTTAACAGGAATGGTTCTCTGTGTATTTGGTGTTTATGCTCGACTTTGGTGCTTTGTTGTACAGTATACTTAGCTGCTACAAAACCTCAAACTGCCCATCATATTTGTTTTAACACAGATGGATTGTTTTTTTTTATCTGACAAAGTCAAATGACCACCTCCTATTTTCTCCCCAGTCTATTGATGTTTCCACAATGTCAGGGTCAAATGCTTAAACACAAACTCTTATAAACTGTTCAGGGTCAAACAGTTGGTTCTGATGTTTCGAAATTTTATTAACCATGTACAATATGACTAAAAAAAGCATTTCCCATGAAACTGACCGTGCAAAGGAACAGACTCATGGGACTTTTGATCTCTTTTCATAAAGACCAATGATGAATGAGTGAGTTGGTATCACACAAATAAATACAAAAATCAGCTTTAAATTGACTGAAATGTGGTCGGAATTGTTTTAATTTTAATACAGTGCAGGCTTCTTGATTATATAAGCAAGAGTTTAAGTACGTTTGATGGGGAGTAGCTACACAAAAATAGACCACAGGCAGGAGATTGCGTACATGCACCCCTGCAGTGTTTCTAATGAGCGGTGTACATTAGTGAGACGCTGTGTGATTCTTTGCTTGTTACGCCATCAATGATTTCCTGTTATTTTGGCTGCAGTAAAAGGTTTAACTGACCACTGCTCTGCTCACATGATCCGATCCGCTGTGAGGTCAGACACTGGCAGCTCTTCATCTGGGTTATCTGCAGCCACTTAGTGTGTGATGGACAGCCATGATCCTCTGACCTCCCCCCTCTCCTCCCTTCTCACCCTCTGTCAGGTTGAATGGAAGTCACGTCCCGCCAGGCCTTGAGGTTAATCTGCCGCCTTTAATTTGGAAAGGTTAGAGCCTTAGGTTGGGTCATTTTTTTTGTTTGAAAACACTCTTGTGCATGTGAAATAGTCAGCAGAAATTGTGCAGTTTATATGTTGGTTAATGAACACACAGACATGGCAACCCTGAGTTCTGTGAAGTTTATGGTTTGCTTCATAACCCAGCCAGAAATGTAAGAGGAGGCATGCTCCTTCCAAAGTGTTCTTGGGGGAACAAAGAGAATAAAGCAAATCTGACAAGCTCCCCAACAATGAATTTGCTCTCTTTAAAAACAATGCCGCTCTTGCCTTCCTCATGGTCACATTGATTTGTTCTGGGTGACAGTGCAGGCTGCTGTGAAATCACCCCAGCGCCATTGATCTCAAGGAGAGAAGGAGGAGAAGGAATGTGAGCTTGGCGACAGTGAGCAACATGGGAAAATCCTCAGTGTGCCCTCCTCAACCTTAACCAGTAATAAAATGAAGGCCTTGGTTGCTATCAGAGCAGACCCTGCTGTACATCTTCAACCAGTGTATCGCAGCTTTGTTTTGTAGGCCCATACGTGCTGTTTGATTGCTATTGTGCCTCACCATGTTTCACATTATCAGCTGAACTCTTTATTGCCACTGTTTTCCATGCCAGAAGCAATGCTGTTTTTATCTCATGCAGGCCTCTGATTAATCTCTCCCTCTATGCTGGTGTACTTTAATCTTGAATGGAAGATATCTGATTCTCCTCGGCTATTGAGGAAGATCAAACTTTAATGGAACAAGGAACTGCACATCGTCCTAATCTTCATATCCCTGCATTTGGTTGACTGCTTTCCCTCGGGCTTTGTAGCTTTCTGCAGAAGCAGGAAATACATCAGACAGATAAGATGCTTTCTCTTCATGCCTTGGTAATTTATTCCCTGTTGACACTGTCCACCACTTTACATCTCTGCTGTTTGATTACCTGGTTGAAGGAACAGTGGGTAGAAGCAGGGGGACTGATGGACACTTACACGTGGCTAACCAAAATGTGTGAAACGTTTCCAGAACCATTAACTGAGCTTTCTTCTGAGTTCAGCCCTTTCACAGGAAATCATACTGCTGCTGCTGCCCTCTTTCTATTTATTGACATGTGAGAGATGGGGCCATGTGTGACCTACGTCATCTGTCTATAATAGCCTGAGGAGAGATAAGTCAGCTGCATTGAAGTATTATGGTTCAATGTGTTTGATTGCACTACAGTCGATACAGGAATTAGCTATTGACTGCTATTTTCTTCATTTAGTTCCTCCATATCACTGAATAACAGCGCACATTATGCTGACCAGCATCCAGACTGTGACTAGCTAGATGCATATTGTTGCAAATGGATAACACTTACGGGTTGTCACACCTCCCACAGACGGTTTGTGTCTGTGACAAAAAGAGGCT